TTCTACTTAATTAAATAGACTTTTAAATAAATGTATTCTCCTACAACATCAGAAGTGCAGCGCCACATTAAATACGCACTACAATGACAATAGTTTAAAGCGATTTGAAGCATGTTTTATTTTTTTGGGGGGGAGGGCAGAGATTTGTGACGTCATATTTGAGGGGGGGGTCTGACTTTTTGTGACGCCGTGTGACGATGGGGGGGGGGGGTCAAAAATCGTCCAAAATCGCGTGACGTCATTTATGGACGGCCCCTAAGTGGACTTGGGCATGGCACATCAACAAAAGGGATGATGCATGATGAAGAAGACAAGTGATGGAATGGCATATGACTGTGTGTGCCCGAGAGGATGACTACTTAAGAGATGGAGCGATGAGATGAGTTTGTCCATCGGCGTGAGATAGATAGTCGTGTCGAAGGATCTTCGTGACAGCATGGACAGTCCATCATTCAGCAGTAAATAGGCGTGTCATGATGTTCAGTGTAATTAATGGGCCTTATTTATCATGCCATTCCATCCCAAAAATATCTTGAGCACTGCAATTCATGTATTGTTGTAGATTCTAACCTTAAAAACCAACATGGAATGTGTCAGTGACAGGACACATACAAGGCTTTACATTCATGATTATCAGTCAAATACTATGAACGATACTGAAAAATATGTCGTATATTGTGAGGCACTTTGGGGTGTACCTCATTATACCATAAATCAGATTACCATATTATTCACTTGAGTATACTTTGCAAAAACATCAGAAACGTTTCCTGCATAATGTTGAAATATAAAAAATAGCGTACATTATATTTACGTGAATTTTCAGATTATCGTAATTTCAAAGTTGTGGAAACAATTTTTACTTACCACTGCAAGATGTACCTTGCATTCATGACCAGTATAACAATGCAGTCAATGGAATGAGATCCCAAGACAAGGAAAGATAGAGTCTGAAAGAGAGACAGAAAGAGACGTAGAGACAGACATAATAATTTGGAGGTCTTGTGTGGTCACACATATTGCACACATGCAGATATAATGCTGGCTCCACACCACATTATTCCGCAGTCTTTACACTGTGATGTACACTGTGATCCGTTAAATATTTACCCAATGTTAGTGGAGGCAGTGTGTGGGCTCAAACATGTTGGGAGGGAAGCACCCACACAGGCTTTAGTATACCGTAGCTGCTTTTGTTTTGACTCATACACTCACGCAGTTATATAAACATACATAATCCAACAGACAACAATGAGTGCAGATTTGGATAGCTTTAATAGATAGACAGGCTGGAAACAAGTTTCTGATATCCTAGTATGGCGTCTAGAGGAATCAGTAATCAAAATGACACATCCCACAGGCTCTTAAGAGGCTGCTCTGTCTGGTAAACAGGAAAGACTGAGGGGAAAGCCTGACACATCATCCTCATTAGCTATGATATATGCATTGCTGGATGAAAGGCACCCCAAGTCATCGCCATGCCTCGTGGTCAAGCAATGTAACAGTCTATCTCGCACCAGCCGATGTCATCCCTGCATCACGATGGTGGATATCCCCTCCACTCCATCATTGAGCTTTGACCATCGGCTATCATCTGACATATCAATGTTTCCTGTCCAAGTTCACTTTTCATAACAGAGAATATCATCTCTGTAAGGGGTGCTTGTTCTTTAATCATTGTGTCCCTCTTTCTGTCACTGAATGTGAATCCAAACATGGACATCTCATTAAAGCCAGGCTCAAGCTTCTCTACCGATGGGGACGGGTGGGGGACAGAAGAGATGTTGTGTGGGCGACCATAACGATGATATACCGTGAAGGAGCGTGAATGTGGATGGTTCGATAGGACATTTGGTGCAGGGCCCACCCTAAAACATCCTCCAAATACCAGTCCTGATCTCAATGCTTATTTATGCACTATTCAACATTTCGATTTAAAGCTTTTAAAGCTTTCGTGACAGCGTCTGTTCTTCACCTGAGGACGGCTGCTTGCATTGTGGCTGAAACGTCGTGAGAATTTTATGTTTTATTTTATTTATTTTATTATTTCCCTTCTAGGTGACTTTACCGAAAGAACCAAAATATTCAACATTTATTCAATGTAATTGTCAATGTCCATTTGTATTACCCGGCATGGCGAGAAGATACAAAGCAGCACTAAAAGACAACAGAGGCTGGAGGGCAGGCAGGGCTGCTATCAAGCCCCTGTTGTCTCATCGCAAGCCGACTATTAATAACTCTGGAAAAGATGAACCAATGATGTACTTGGATCACTAAAAAATACGATTATATGTATCGTGATGTTTGTTTTAATATTCTGTATGATTTAAATAGTATTTTAGTGCAAGTGGGACATTAATAGGAGCACAAATTTAAGAGAGCAATTTTAAGTGAGCCGCGTCTGCCTTCTTTATTCCTTACTCGCATCTCTTCGGTGTCGCTATCTATCGTCTTGTGAACTTCTGCCGTTTCAACTCAATGTTTATTTATTACACTATAAATCCCGTCTAGCCAGTTTCCCAGTTAGATTCGTTGGCAATGGCACGCGGCCACGAACAAAACAGTCATTGTTGGGGTGGAAAGGAGCCCAGCCAGCCAGGAAACTCGAGGTATAGATTATTGTTGTATAGTACTGCAGAGTATGATGAAAAATATATAAAAACAAAAGGCTATGAAAACAATTAACTTGCTTTTTATGTACTCATATTAATGATATTCCTGATGCTGCATGGTGAATTCAGATTTTTTTTTTAAACTAATACCTGCAACAGTTCCGTAACAATGATTGGCAACCATTGTTACGGACTTACCCCCATTCAAAACTGGCTGAAATGATCAAAGGATTGACAAACCCTTGGAGAAACAAACCGGTGCTAATGGGACCTGCCTCAATGCCCTGCCCTGCTGGCTAAGGCAAGTCCTCTTTTGGCAGAACCGCTATATCCGAGCCGTTTTTCCCTTTGATGCCTTTCGGCGTCCTGCTTCCTGTACGTCTGGCGTAAGCGCTACCGCTATTATCGCTAATTAAATACTTCCGAAGACAAACACATGTTGGAAAGCATTACAGACTCGATGAATGTTCATTATTTTTCTTCCATGTTTCCCCCCGGAATAAACCAAGTATGACGCGTGCCAACGTGTAATGCGCCATGGGATTCGGGAATGTGTATTTGCACATAATTAGAAAATAAATAAAATTAAACAAATCACGACGTTTCGATCGCAACACAAGCGGTGTTGCGATCGCAACACAAGCCTGCAACAGTTCCATGAAGCGGTGTTGCGATCGAAACGTCGTGATTTGTTTCATTTTATTTCTAACTACGTGACTTTATCGAAAGAACCAAAGAGTATGGATTCCTGCAGTCACGAAAGCTTCAAATCAAGAATGTGCACATAAATTAAGTTGTATTCCATTTATACTTATTTTGAGTCATGATACTGCGAAAGGTACCTGTATGGAATACAGTTTTCCGTGTTGCATGTAAGCTGAGTACCGTGGAACTCTGAAAATCAACATTGATGAGGCGGATGCTATTTTCAGATCCTAAAATACATGACGCACCGCAAAAAAACACTAAAATATTTGTATGAGGTATGTGTCGTTCGTGCCTTTTAAGGTAAACAATGTATATTCAAATATATACAATATGTGCTCTTTTCATACATTTTGTACGTAATAAACGAATGTATGTGATGGCGTGTTATTGACACCATTGAGGTGTGGTGGTGAATTTTGGGAATTGTCCGTTACGTGGCTAAAATCTGTGTATTTTCACCGACATGGAATTTAGGCGGTTCCGTGGACTGTGGGGGCATCGCGAATGATAATATTCACAAATTTTACGAGTGCAGATTGTCATCTTAACATTTGTCTTCTTCTGAAACAGACCTGTTCGTCTTTAATGACCATTATGTATCTCTCTTCCTTTCTGAGTTAAAAAAAAAAGTTAACTGATAGAACTGTATGGAGGCGAACCGGTTCCTTACGGGTTTTATAATGCAGTTATTGGTAATCCAATAAGACAGATTTTAACAACCCTAGTATGGACTTGTATCCGTCATATCAATTAATTCTAACAAATGTACGCCACTTGAATACAACCAAGCGGATTGGTGGAAACCAGGATAATGGTTCATTCAGATGGATGACGACTCAACTCATCACAAGACGGAGCAAAGTCGTGGCTCTCATCCACCAGAGGGCATCTCACCCCGGTGCAGTACCTGTCCAGATGATTCACTCGGAGGGAGGAAGACCGCGACGTGACAACGTGGCTAGTAGGCACGGGCGGGTGCACACAACACAACACGCGCGCGCGTGGGATCAGAGAAAGAAGGAGAAGCAGTAGGAGGAGTAGGAGGAGACACAGGGTGACGTTGCCTCGGTGGGAATGTGGGCGTGCGGTGTTTCCCTCGGCTGGTAGGGGGTGGCAGCGGGGAGTGCGGGGGGGAGTGCAGGGGGGGGTGCAGGGGGGGGGCAGGGGGGGTGCAGGGGAGGTAAGAAGGGGGGTTTGTAGGAGGGGTGCAGGGGAGGTAAGAAGGGGGGTTTGTAGGGGGGGGGTGCAGGGGGGGGGGGTGTGCAGGAGGGGTAGGGAGGGGGGTGCGGAGGGGGGGTGCAAGGGGGGTAGGGAGGGGTGAGCAGGGGGGGGTGTGCAGGGGAGGTAAGAGGGGGGGTTTGTAGGGGGGGGGGTGCAGGGGAGGTAAGAAGGGGGGTTTGTAGGGGGGTGCAGGGGGATGGGTGTGCAGGAGGGGTAGGAAGGGGGTGGTAGGGGGTGTGCAAGGGGGGTAGGGAGTGTGTGGTAGGGGGTGTGCAAGGGGGTAGGGAGGGGTGAGCAGTGGAAGGGGTGATAGGGAGGGGTGTGAAGGGGGGGGGAAGTGGTAGCGTTGTGCAGGGAGGGGTGAGCATGCGGGGAGGGGTGAGCAAGGGGGGGGGGGTGTGGGGGGTGTGGCGGGCCAGGAGGGGGAGGCTGATCGCCTTCACTGGGAGCAGCAGCAGCGCAGCCTCCACGCTGCTCACTCACTCAGTGTGCTGCTGCTGCTGCTGCTGTGCGCTGCTGCAGGAGGCTGCGCTGAGCCATGTCCCGGCGGACTGCAGACCGCAACCCGTAATTGATCGGCACGGACAGGTAAAGCGTGTCTCGCGTGCCTACACCCTGACGTGTCTGTCTGCCGTGTGTGTGTGTGGTGGTGGTGTGTGGTGTACGGCTAAATATATATATAGCCCACTGTCATTACCACATCAAGCACGCTATTAATACCCGGTGTACTGTAGTATGGAAATGAGTTGTATGGATCAGAACAATGTAATCCACAAAGTTCTAAAGCGACAAGGCTGCGTGCTGCGTTTGTTCCCGTGAGAGAGCTTATGACCGGGTAAGGGATACATTTCGTACAGTCCTGTATATAATTGTGGTGGCTTTTAAACGACTGTGATGAATATGTGTAAGTACGTTCGCAGGTGTAGTGAACGTTGACTCCAGGGCAGTAAGGACGAGACCTGCTTACGTTAAATGACGAAACTCAAGGCCATTGTGGGTTCTGCGAGGACGAGACGTACGCACATGTACAGCCCTGCTTGGATAGGTGACCATACTTCACCACGCTGGTCAATGAAAGTATGGGTTGTGTGTGTGGGGGGTGGGGAGGGAAGTTGGCAGGACCAGTTCGGACATCGCTCGCCACTGATGTTAGCCGTCGTTGATGAGACCAAGTATTGTATGGGTCACGGGTGCGATGTATTGTCTGAAAGGTACAACACAACAATCTCTTATCAATTTAAAGCTTTCGTGACTGCAGGGATTCATCTTCTGGGTTCTTTCGGTAAAGTCACGTAGAAGGGAAGTAATAAAATAATAAAAATAAAACAATAAAATAATTCTCACGACGTTTCGGCCACAACGCAAGCAGCCGTCCTCAGGTGAAGAATAAGGACGGCTGCTTGCGTTGTGGCCGAAACGTCGTGAGAATTATTTTATTATGTTTTATTTTTATTATTTTATTACTTCCATTCTACGTGACTTTACCGACAGAACCAAGAAGACGCATCTCTTATCACTCCGATCTATGTGCCACACATTTCGTTCAAAGCGCACGCCGCTTGATGCGAGACTCTGACGTGAACGCAGAGCGCATTCTCATGGGGATAACGTGACCCCCCGCCAGCCACGAGAGGCCGCTACATTAATCCGTGTAAATTTTTATTTATAATAAATATTCTTGGATGGTGACCCTGGGACCGCGAGTTCGACAAACCCCTGTTTAATTGCGTTCACGTACAGGAGGATCTGCACCAGCCAAGACGATTCCATGAATTGTCACGATTTGTTTAACGGGGATGAGATTCAAGATTTCGAATAATATTCATCTCGTTTTGAATAAAAAAAAATCCTATTCTTACAGCGCCGCTTGTGCCCTTTAATATGAACCGTGACGCTGTCGTACGATTTGTTCAATCGCGTAAAAAAAACCAATAATCGGTTCTCACGCGCGCCCTGGGAGAGAGGCGCTTCCATTCGACTCGGTGGTGGTTGGTGGTGGCGATGCCACTGCATCGTGACCCGGGAATGTGATGGCTGCAGGGTTCTCTTCTCCCTTGCAGTGTGTGGTGGTGGTGGTGTGGAGCTTCCCACGCACAAACCCCCTGGCTTCACAGATTGCCTCGCAGGCACCGGTCGCGGCTATTGCGAGGTTGTGCTTTTGTAAACAAGTTATGCTAATTTGATACAGTGTATCGCATCGGACGCGTTAAGAATCTACTCATTTGAATCCTTGACAATTCGGAGCACGTGCTGGATTTCTGCCACGGCAAAGGTATCGAGCGGGTGGAGCGGTGGTGCAGTGGTTAGCGGACTGCTCCGTGAACCCTGCTCCCGAGAGTTCGATTCCAAGGCACGACTAATATCGGTGTCGAGTGATTTAGGAATCCTTTCTGGGCACCCCACTTCACCAACCCGCACTGTGAAGTACGGTAGGATTGACAAAGGGCTGTACATTCTTGTTATTATTTCCAAGTACTGTGGAATTGCAGTCTTAAGTTACGCTGTTTCAAAATTAACAGCGATGCATGATGTGTATGAGCTAACATAAAGTGCCTCGCCACGACGGAATAAACAATTTCTGATGACAACTCGTGAAATTGTTTAGCCACAACCGAATATTGACAAATGAATCTCGAATGCCATTTACGCCTGGCTCTTTATATAGACTAACAAAAAAATCATTTGATTGGACACTGAAGGAGCCACCTGAACCCTCAGCAATCACAGTTGTAATACAATTTCTAATTGGAATCATCCAAACCATTGGTAAAGAAGGAACTCCCTCCCTGCTATTGCATGAAGAGATGTGTTGTAAATTAAATGGCTCACTGTATTCGTGTTCTACAGTGCATTGACACATTGGGTCGAGTCACATGCTGGCAGAGGGCCATTTAAGCCTGGCAGGGTGCAGCGTTGTTGAGCAATCAAAGAAGCAGGCGTAACGACGTGAATCGGGCTTAGATGTGTGCAAGGTGGGCGTGCACCCAATTTATATACAGGGCACATCCTCTAGCAGAGGCTGGCAAGAGCGTGGTTGTGACTGCCAGCTCTGGGGGACATCACAAGGTGCCCGTCCATGCTCTGCCTAATTCACATCTCAGTGACAAAAGTAAAGGTGCAGCCCTGCAATTTCTGGCTCGCGCTACTGTTGGCAAAAGGGCCTCATGCTCGTCGGAGCTGTAGAGAAACCCTATCCAGAGAGCATATTTTGGCTTACCTTTTCCATGCTGGTCATACATCTTGGAAGAGGTAGAAGTACCCACGCTTTAACCCACCACACGCGATCTGCCGATCGACTGATGTTCATTTTTATACTTTTGAATGGACAGAGGCGTGGGGTGGGGGAGTAGGAAACTTGCCTATTCCACTGTTGTGCCAGGAGATTTGACCGACGAACTCAGTCCAGTGTGGTTGCTATTAGACACCGACGGCATTACTACTGTGGTAATGCTGGTGAAGGTGTTTCTATTTTTTTAAATCGAATAACTACATTTTTAAGAGTTTCCCTGTGCAGTGATGCGACTTAATTGAATCTGAGATCCACATGCTGAATTTATCCAGCCCCACTGACAAGACCCACTGGCATCCTGAATGTTTGTGGTGCGAGGGGTTCAGGTGTAATGTAAATTCTAGATTTGAAGTTTTCGTGACTGCAAGGATCCATACTCTTTGGTCCTTTCAGTAAAGTCACGTAGGTGAAAATAAAAATAAAATAAAAATAACTAAATTAAATCACGACGTTTCGGGCGCAACACAAGCGTCCGTCATCAGGTGGGGACCACCACAGCGTTAATAGCGTGTAGGAATTAGACTATTGTGTTTGAGAGAAGATATACAAGTGAATAAATGTAGGCAAGAGAAAGCGCAGAAAGATAGAACATGTAACTAGAGCAGTTAGTGCAGAAAGTTACGAAGGCAGAGAAAACGAATGCAGGGCCAGGGAAGCCGAGAAATAGACATGGAATAAGTACAGTAACAACAATAGCAGAAGTCTTGCGATAAAAAGCAATAATACACTTTTTGACAAGTCTCCTCGAGCCAGAATATGGCATCCTCTCCATGTAGCTTGTGGGGTGTTGCTGCTGTGATAAAATCAATAATTAGGCGTATGCACTGCCTTTTTATATGTGCCATGTCCCACCTTGATGTACTTTTGGCACCAGTATTCGCCAACATCACTTAGCCAATGTTTGCGGAGTGGCGTCGTATTGGTGTATCCATTTTGGCATGATCCCTGGCAGATCAAAGTATACATAAAAGCCAATACAGTACATGTATATGAATAGAATGGTGCTGACTTAGTGGAAATTGTCTGATTTACCGAACGTTTAACGATCTGCCTGAGAGCCAATAAAATAAAATATCCAAATTGCACCTTCTGCGATGAAATGTGCCCACATAACCATGCGAGCCCTGCGGATGGCATTCGAAGGCATAGCAACTTAAACCAATATAATTAACAGGCCGATACTGTAGATGTTAATTTATTTGGCAGTAATGCAATGGACACTACCAGATCCACCATAATTAAGGATCCGTAATGCCAGTGTGGGTTATATAAATATATAGTAGACTATACGGCCTGTGGACAGGTCGTAACGATGATAAAGATGCCTTTTTTCCAGTGCATTAACCCATGCCCAGTTTAATGTTTAATGAATGTATTATGAACTGTACGATAGTAAGTGCAGTACATATAGTTTATTGCATAACAGTATATAGTTGAATAAAGACATGTAAAAAAGAAGGTAAAGGCTGTTAATATTTAATTTTAAAAAACTTTCACATTTTTTTGTGAGATACAATTGTGTGCATTGCTTTTATACAAGAATCTTGTACAGTTTCGAATCCAACGTACACTATTAATGGTGCAGTCGAATTGATAAACATTTCATTCAAAAATAAGGTAGCAGGCAGGCAAAGGTGGAGTGTGACTTTTATATTTGGGGGGGGCAGGGGTTCGCTTTGTCCCTCACATTAGGAATCGCGAGTGCACATTTATACATTTATAAATCTTAATTGTAAACTACTGAAAATAATATTCTTGGTTCTTTCGGTAAATTCACGTAGAAGGGAAATAATAAAATAACAAAAATATAAAACAATCATCACCTGATGATGATTGCTTGTGTTGCAGTCGAAACATCGTGAGAATTTTATTGCTTTATATTTTTATTATTTTACTATTTGCCTTCTACGTGACTTTACCGAAAGAACCAAGAATATAAATCCCTGCAGTCACAAAAGCTATAAATCAAAATACTGAAAATAAATTAATAAAGGGAGGGGCGATGCCCCTTCCCCCCCCCCCAAACTAAGTCTATCGTAGCAGGGACATATGGGTTAGGACAACCGTATGTGGCATATCCACACATACGTGGAACCACGTAATTGATCTTCATATGTACATCACTGTTTACCAATCGCCTTTTTCCCCGCGTCATATTTCTAACATAAGAGTGCACTGTTTCGACATAGCATATTGATACATTGTAATTTACGCCAACAATATGTGTATTAAAGGGTGGTTATGGTGGTAAACTGGGTGGATTACAGTATTGGTAGCTGGTGTTATAACATTTAAATAATGTCCTAGTACCTGCTTGAAGGAAATTGTTAGGTATTCCCCTTTGGGCGATGAGAGTGTCACTTGCTAAATGCAGTGGTACATATTTTCAGTGGCATTGCAAGAATTGTATTTGTCACCACGAGAGAATGTACTCCGGGAAATACAGCTTGTGTGTCTCACTTTTGTAGTTCCACAGCAAGCTGCACCTCGGCACATTTCATATGATGTTGCAACATTATTGGGATGACGTAGATTTGGTATTTTATATTTAAAACAAATTCGCAACCCGCGCATCATCTGTATGTGACCAACCGTAAAAGTAGCCCTCTCAGCCAGGCAAACATTTTTGTTTATCTTATACAGAGTCCTGTTTCCGTCTTTATCTTGCCTTCTCTGTACTGTAGATCCCAATTCATCTAAAATTCTCCCTTTGTGTTTTTATCTGTTTGTATATTCCACGGGCCTGTTTTGTAACCTCCCTCTGTAGTCCTCTCCTCCCTGCACTGTATCTCACCCACTTCCCTTCCCCCTATCTCTCTACGTTTCTCTCTACGTTTCTCTCTCTCACCTCTCACCCTCGCTCTCCTTATTCGCACCTCTCCCTTCCCCACCTCAATCTCTTTTGCCTCACCCTAAATACGAGCAAAACAAAGGTCTTGAACAGCAAGTTTGCAAAACAATTGGAAATACCTGTCAGACGGACACAATTTGGAAAACAGCAAAGTTTGTGTACCTCAGACAGCTACGAAGGCGAACTGAGTTCAAAATGAATGTAAGATGATGAGAGCAGCAGGTATGAGTGCTTTTGAAAAGCTGAATTCATAATGAAAAGTAACATACCAATCTGCTGACGAAAAATGTGTTTAACCAGTGCATGGAGTGAAGCATACTTGGAATGATATTTGAAAGGCATGAAGAGGAATAATAATAAAGATGCCGTGAATAGCATTTAGAATGTATCAAACTTCAATTCAGGATTGCATTTTGTGCCTTCATGCAATCTCTGTGTAGCTGTTGCATATTTATAAATGGTATTGATAAATTCTACATATTGTAAGGACGTAATTTGCGAGTGTTTAAATGACTGCATTGGTTTACATTGAATAAAATGCCTTCATAATCTACAAAAGCCAGCGATAATGATATTCGAAATTAATTTGTCTTTTCTTGGTTGTGATTGATAGTATTTATCGTCGAAAATATTTAAAAAATACAGCTTGTCTCAAGCTGTCGATTATTTAGTTCCCTTTGATATTTGTGAGTAATTCATGTACACAATAAGCATGATAAAATAATGTAATAAAGAAGTGGATGAGAGGAATGATGGCTGATGGAAAAGAGTGTTGATGTAATGGCCAGTCAAAGGAGAAAATGCACCCAAAAGTATGACCGCTTGTAGAGATGCAGGGATCAGATCAGCCCATACATTTCAGCGAGATCGATTGTAGCATTGCAGAACTGTGTGGGATGCCAATGGTGTGGGGGGGCCTTTATCCAGCAATGTATTGATCAAAACTGGTGATGATGGTGAATTAAATTCCTGGCTGGTTTTATTATGGTTACAGATGAAAAATGTTGAGACATTTATAATTGTATGAATTGCATAATCTTTATTGGATGACAGAGGGATACGATATTTGATATGATTTGCTTGAGATATTTTCACCACCTTAACGCCAAATGAATGGACTTGACACTTAATAGGTTGTGCGCCGACACTGTCATGTTGTGGCTCTTCAATTGCAATATCTGTTATTCATGACCGCACACTATCTCCTCTCCCCGCCTCCTTTTTCTTCTCTCTCAGACATACGGACGATTGCTGCTGTCAAAGGCAAGAGAGCTGCAGTAATAGTGTGGCGTGTGTGATGATGTCACGAATGGGAGGCAAGTCACGAAGCATGTACCACGAGGCCCGCCACCCCGAGGCAGTGCTCTCGCAGCTGAATGCTCTCCGTCGCCGAGGGCTGCTCACCGATGTGGTGCTGCGGGCTGGGAGTGCGGCTTTTCCCTGTCACCGCGCTGTCCTGGCTGCCTGCAGCACGTACTTTCAGGCAAGCTTCTACCCTCGCCCCCCTACAGCCACTCGTTGTCCACCACCAGCCCCTCTCCAGCTCACTCCGCAGCTGACACCTACCTTTACCTGACAAGCTCATATATTAATACACACATGTCATTGATTGTAATAATACCTCAGCACTATTATGAAGTTGGCTGTGTTTTTAAATCCTTTGTATTAAGTTCGCTTGCTTGCGTGCTTGCGTGCTTGCTTGCTTACGACCGTGCAAACCTTTCGGTCGTTTTTTAACCCACTTCCCGTGATCCAATCGAGCTGACATTTTGCACACAGACTCGTTGTGCGAGACAATTAATGTTCGTGAAAAAAAAAAATCAAAAATTTTACACTGTTTAGGGAAAACAAATTAAATATTTAATTAACAATTGTTTAATACTGCAGACAATCATCTGACCCATAGGTGGCAGCCATCTCAAGCCAGAGGACGAGAGGACTCTAGCCACCACGCATATAAAGGATTTAGAGTGAAAAACTTTGTTTTTACGGGTTATACTTATTTTGTTCACTTGTATATTGTGGGAAATGGAGACACTTGCTCACCTGCTCTCATGGTGGAAAAAAACCCATAAAATGCTGTAAGTTATAGAATGATGGTGAACGTTTTTATATGTGAAAACCTCTGCATTACATATGCTTATGGGGGGGGGGGGTGTGTCTGCAAGACCTCAATAACATACATTGACATTGAGTGTTTATGCCTCTGCAGGCAATGTTTGGCAGTGGATTAAGAGAGAGCCACGAGACTGAGGTGGATTTCGCCGACAGCGTCGCACCAGAGGCCCTTGGTTTACTTCTGGATTATGCGTACACGTCACGGTTGGCGCTCAGCGAGGAGACGGCCGCAGAGGCCTTGCTGCAGGCCGCCGACATGCTGCAGTTTCCCGAGGTGCGCGACGCCTGCGCTGACTTTCTTGAACGCCGACTGAGCCCTGACAACTGCCTGGCGGTCCTCGTTTTGGCGGATGCACACGGGTGTATGAGTCTCCGTGAGCGATCTCGGCGTGCCTGCTTGAGATATTTCCCAGCGATGGCAAGTGGCGAAGAGATTCTGTCTCTCTCTGCCGATTTACTGCTCGAACTCGTAGGAAGTGAGGAGCTTGAGGTGGAAGAAGAGTGCGTGGTGCTGGAGACTTGTCTGCGTTGGGTGCGGCATGATTCTGATCACCGACATTCTCGCCTACCTGAGTTGCTGAAACAAATTAGGCTAGCGCTCCTGCCACTGCCATACCTGACCTCACTCGTGGATAAAGAGTTATTGGTGGCATTCCAGCAGAAGAGCCAAATGCTTGTAAAGGAAGCTCTCAGCTGCAAGAGGCGTATTCTGAACAATGAGGGGGTGGTGACAGACCCTTGTGCACGACCACGTCAGTCGGGACACTCTCTTCTGCTCCTGGCTGGTCAGAGCTTCATGTGCGATAAGGTATATTTAGTGGACCAAAAAGCTCATGAAATTGTGCCAAAGGCACAGCTACCTAATCCCCGTAAGGAGTTCAGTGCATGTGCTGTGGGCTGCAAGGTCTATGTTACAGGTGGGCGTGGCTCTGAAAAGAGCGTCTCTAAAGATGTGTGGGTCTATGACAACCTTCACGACGAGTGGGGCCGTGCGGCCCCCATGCTTGTTGCACGATTTGGCCATGGCTCCGCTGAGCTTGGTGGGGAGCTGTACGTCGTCGGAGGCCACACGGCTGGCACGGGCCAGTGTCCTGCCTCTCCGTCTGCTGCACTGAAGCAGGTGGAGCGATATAACCCCGCGACTAACTCATGGAGCATGGTGGCTCCCCTGCGTGAGGGTGTCAGTAACGCAGCTGTTGTGAGCACGAGGGAACAGCTCTATGTGTTTGGTGGCACTGGCGGTGTGAGCAGGGAGCGGTCACCTCGTGTGCAGTGCTACCAGTTGGAAGAAAACCGGTGGAGCATCATCGGTGCCTGCCCACAGCCGTGGCGGCACACATCAGCGTGCCTGCTAGGCAAGCACATCTTTGTGCTTGGAGGCGATACCGAATGTTCGGCATCGGCCGCGTACTGTTTTCACACTGAGACGCACCAATGGACCCGGGTTGAAGCAGATGGGTTTACTGCCAAACGCATGAGCTGCCATGCGGTGGCCTCGGGCAACCGGCTGCATGTGGTGGGTGGCTATTTCGGAGCACAAAGAGGGAAGACGTTGGACTGCTACGAGCCAGCTTCTGATAGCTGGGAGAACGTCACGAGCATTCCTTACTCGCTGATACCTTCAGCATTTGTGAGTGTGTGGAAACACCCAACAACTTAGTCTACCAGCATGCAGGTGAGGTCCCAATGAAAAAGTTAAAACTGGCTTCTTGTCTTATAAATAATGGTTAAATATATTCATTTGTAATGTTCAGGTATTCTATATCCCAAGCACATGCTCAATATTTCTTTGGGTGTTTAAAAAATAAATATAAAAACAATTTCATTTATCTTTTCAAAGTAGCTTAAGTAATAGAGTTTTAATTGTATCTGCAATATGTTTTTTTCTTCCTGTAAAGCTCACTGCTTTGAAGGATAATTTCCCGAACTGTTAACGTGTGTACGTTTCTGTCTACAAGTCCATATTGTATGATAACGGTTGTAAGCGTTTTTCTATGATTCGTAGAGGAGTTTGGTTTTCTTGTAATTTATATGACTCACTAAAGTCACTGCGTATAAAATGGATTGCTTTAACAACTGTAACTACTGCAGTCTGATTGACCATAATTGTGAATGAAATTTCACAAATGTGCAATTTTATTGTCTTTTATCCATTAATAATATGAAAGTGCTGACTTAGCAGGCTCTTTAACCACCATTACTGGATTTAAAAGTCTTCTGTCCCCACACAAATGTCTGCAATCAATACGTTACTCTTAACATTTAGTTGGATGCCAACAGATCAGTTGTTCATTGCAACAGCTGAACATCTGTTGTACATAGTTACTGTAGCTCCCTGGTGTCTTGAATAACTTAAATTGTATTCAAATACTAATCGCAAGTATTTATTATCAGCATGCGTCGTTTTATGTCGGACTGACAAGTTTAAACAGGCTAATGTGGTTCCATATGTAAACTTAATGAAAGTGTGGTTTTGTTGCCAGCGCACGACTTGAGTTGTTTATGATTTTTGTTTTTCTTAGGTGACTGCAATGATGGTGTTGTTGAATGTAGCGCATGCTGGTCAGAAAATCCGCTTAAAGAAATCCTGGCCACCATTGAGACTGCCTGGTATCTTAGATATTCTGATGGGGTTTTTTTATCTCTAAAAGCTGCTCAGAACGTAACAATGAAGAGAAGACCTGAGCCACATAAGTGGATATTGAGGAACGTGTTATGTTGTTTGAAAACAATATTGATTATTTAAGTGTTGTTATTTTTTATTACAATGATTGTGTGATATTTCAAATGATTGTTATGCATTTTGAGTTGGTTTTGAGGTGCATGATATATATGTCTACTGTATTGCTTTACGAGGTTTGTTGCGACTGAAACTAAAGTTAAATGGTTCATCACTGTTGCATGTAACTTAACGAAGTGCTGAAACATGATATTGTAGGTTACACTTTGCAAATCAAAGCTTTGCCTTATGTAATTGGAGGCAGCAATGTTCAATGCAGTTGCTTTTCATTGTAATTTATTCTGATTGATGTTGGGTTAATGTTACCTTTGTAAGATGCGGTATAATACATGACTGGATTGAAATGTGCCTGTGTACATAAAACACCTTAAAAGTTTAAACTCTTAAGGTAAAGTTTATGCTTAACTGAAAGGTATTGGTTAAAGGAGGAGGCACATATTTGGCCTAATTAATCTGTTTGCAGAAATTTATTATTGTGTAAAGTTTATGCTGTGAAAAATGGCTGCCAAGTGTGTTTTTTTTTTGCCTGGGCGCTCGCTATACGACCAATGCACAAAACACACCCCAGGACGAAGCTGTAGCAATCGGGCCGTGATCCATAACACACATGGTTGTGTGTATTTGTGTTGACAGCTCGGTAAAGCAGGATATATGTGCGTGCACAGCCACAATAATTTCCAATATATAGGAGTGAAAGAGAACTGATGCACCTGTGAGAAGCAAGGCAAAGGATAAGTTGAGTAGAAGAAGATTACCAGATGAAAGGGGCGAAACTGTGAGATACGAAACATACATGGTCCAGCATATAATGTGCAGATTATGAAGGCCACTATTGACTGAGAGTAATTCATTGCAGATCCCCTGTGGCATCCATGATGCCTTTTTTATGCTGCTACATTCATTCCTATCATATCTTGAATGCTGTCTTGCCATCTTGTTGACCGTCACATCTGTGAACATCTGTAATAAAAAAGAGCTGCATAGCTCATCGGATTCTTCCAGTCTAAATAAAGATTCTGATTCATTGTCGATGCCTCCTTCCATCACTCTTTGCTTGTGTCATTGGCGAGGGATATCTGGAACGGTCCTGGCCGTCCCACCTCATCAACCCGCATCGACCGGCGTGGTGTATTATAGTATGAAGAAATATTCTTAGGTTTTTTCGGTAAGTAAGTAAAATAAAATAAAAAATCACGACGTTTTTTATTTTATTTTACTTTTTAATGTTTTTTACCTACGTGACTTTACCTAAAAAACCTAAGAATATGAATCCCTGCAGTCACGAAAGCTTCAAATCTAGAAGTATGAAGAAAATGCCATCTCTGACCAGGCATGGGAAGGATTTTGCCCACTTGACAGAGGCTATTGATATATTTAGTTTCATATATATGCAGTACACTACTACTAATCATGGAGTTTGCTTCAGCCACTCTCAGATTTAGCGTCACACTCCATGGGAGGTGAATGATTAGTTTATAATGTTAAGTGCTTAGCATGAGACTTAATAGAGAGCTGTAGGCTTTGCTTGCCCTATAATTAAAACCGAATCAACTTCGGGACAATATTTTTTGTTGAGTTGAATAAAAAAAAAAGTAGTTTCATATATTCTAGTTACAAGCCTAGACTTAATTTAATTGATCTCAAATAACTCTTTATCAGTGGCTCACCTTTCGTCAGTTTGATGAATTAGATCGGCAACAGTCTTGGTTATGTTGAGTCCTAGTTCTTCGAAAACATTGTCAACGTACAAAAATCATCCCCAGTGAAGTGAGGGACCTCCTCCTCATGGATGAGCACAGATAGGAAACTTCACAAATGAGCAGTTTACACAATCGGAATCAGTTTTGATCAACCCACTGCCGGATGGAGGTCTTCCCCTAGCTGTCGACATCTCTCGCGGTTCTGCAATGTAACAATCCACCAAGCACCGTGTACGTGAGCTGATGTTTGTATTGTTCCGTCTCCCCGGTGGATTCATTCTCAGGCACGTTCCCTCCCTTTGTTGCTTCTTTCATGATTCTTGACCACCGATCATTAATCGAAAATATTTGTTATACACGTGTGGATAGGGGCCGTCCATAAATGACGTCACGCACCTAGGGGGGGGGGGTCAGACATTTGTGACGATGTGTGACGACGGGGACGGGGGGGGGTGAGAAATGTGACGTCACATAAAAATGCGCAACTTTAAATAAATATAGACAACACGTTCTACTTTATTAAATCGTCTTTTTAATAAATGTTTTCTCCTACAACAGAGTGCAGCGCCACATTAAATACGCACTACAATGACAATAGTTTTAAGCGATTTGAAGCATTTTGGAGGGGGGGGCGGGCAGAGCTTTGTGACGTCATATTTGAGGGGGGGTCTGACTTTTTGGGACGCCGTGTGACTAGGGGGGGGGTCAAAAATCGTGCAAAATCTCGTGACGTCATTTATGGACGGCCCCATACACACTCGTTATGACCTGCGAAAAACCCTTGTTGCCTCTTGGAAATTTAATGCTTTTTAATTAATTTCATAAGCAAATCACTCCACAATGGTGCCATAAAAGTTTGGATGGCATTTACACAATAATCCGTGAACAGACCGGCAAGAAGAATGGTGTATAAACACACAATGCCTCCATGCCTACCATGTCCCCGCAGGCAGAAAGCCGTATTTCTACATTGTTAGTCTATGGGTCAGAGTGAAATTTGATGGTTAGTGGCAAACATTGAGGCATACCAGTTTCTGTAGATAGATATAGATTGAAATGAAGGTGAATTATGTGATAATATACTCAGTGCAGCCATCTCGGGTGGTACCAACAAGTGAATTATTTGACCTGGGCCAATGTACTATGAATGAATGAAAGCAATATTTTCTCATCCCTACGCAAGATTATATCCTCTCCTCTGTTTTATTTACAAATACTATTGTTGAAATGAGTATTATTCCTGAATAAACATTTAAGAAATATACAGTTTCATCCATTTATAGATATACTATTCATTTCTAATGACACCACTGAAAAATGCGTGCGTGTTACAAGATGTGTGTTGGATTGCTCCAGGTGGAATAATGACCAGCCCCCTCTGCCCCCCCCCCTCCCCATATTCGCCTGTCATCACCCCACTGGATTTTTTTTCTCGTGGGGTTAAATCAAAATTACATGTATATGCACGACAAAACCGAGAACTAGCAATGATCCCCGGCTTACGCATCCTTGAATGTTGTGAGCAAATTACACTGGCGGTGTTGGACAAAGTGTATCAGGAGAGTGCTAAGAATTTTAAAAATATATTGAGATTTGTGGAAGACGTAGAGGAATTTGAATAAAATGTTTTCTCTACAATTCTCCATTTGATTTCAGTGTGGTATCTGTACGCGGATCATGCTGAATATTTCAAAGTACTGTGCTATTTTTTTGGTATGAAACAACCTTAGTTTATTGTTGAACAACATTCTGCCAAACAGCACACAATTAATATGCACACTTTTGCTCGACTCTGAACGGATGCCACGGTGTTCATAGAGGGCAGCAATCCAGCAGGCAGGAACCCAGGCATCATGTTGTTTTGCCAGGCTGATTATTAAGTCAATGCCAGTCTGGTCCCAGGTGTGTCTGCGTAAATACTGCAGGGATACATTGGCCTGGATAACCTTTTGGCTCATGGAACTAAAGTAATATAACATAAACAAAATACAACCATGTCTTTATTTATTTAGTAACAATACAATTTATATAATTTAAATGAATGCAATGATCTTTCAAAGTAGTTGCATGTTTTTTGTATTTGACGAATTTGCATCCCAAATTTATGCCAAAGATTATCTGCCCTTCCCCCATTTTGTCTGTTGAGGTAAAGAAACGTAATTTTTTAATAAAAATATTGGACCTTATGCTCAATAGATCTCTCAAAACATTTGTATTTCAAAATCACCAATTATTTAACAATTTGTAAAAACACTCCTGCAATAACATTTCGTTAATCCCCCTATGTTCCCTGCTTGTTTTCCTTTAGATTGATCCTGAGATACTATTCAAGTTCAGGTTAAAGTTCTATTGGAGAAAAAAGTCATGAAAGGCACTGTGCTCCTCAATCAGCCCAACTATCTGGCCACCAGACCTCTACCCCTACCACCCTTCACCTACCCTCATCCATGCCCAGCCATAGCACCTACCTTATCACTTCTTGCATGTGCCCCATACCCCACTGCCTCTCATTCACGTCGCACCCATATGCCACCTTCATTCACCATCACACTCCACCTTATTCCTCCTCCCATACTGCTGCAACATCAGCAGATTCTTTCCCAGCCCCTGTCCCTGCATCCATTCGGTCACCTCCCTCACTAACCGCCGCTCCACCCCACCCGTTGCTCCCCTTTTGCCACGTTGTGTACCGCCATCGGTGAGCGTTGTAAAGCGCCCTGGAAAGGGCACTGCCATATACATTCTAAATAGCATAGAATAGAATTCCACGTGACAGGGAATAAGTATACACTGTTGTAATGATCAATTATACTATGTAACTCCAATTTTTGTTCCTGGGCAGTAAATGCTATTTCGTAATTGCTTATGCCTAATATGTATAGAAAATGGATATTATTCCGCACAAACTTTGCTTTTGTGACCATGACAGTGCTATTTTGAAATTTACATATTTTCAATGAGAAAACGGGCGAATTTGTGTCTTTTCGTTCACAAAAAATTGTTACACTGTTATCACTAATTATTTAGAGAATGTGACTGCTATACATTTTTACATAATTCACTTCACTGGCCAGGTTGCTTCTGAAAAAGGGCTATATAGCTCAGTGGGCCATATCTGGTTAAACAATTTAGTTCATAGGATAATCCTGTTACAGAAATAAAATAAAAACATAATTGTACTTGAAAAAAACAAACGAAATCAATGTTTTTGTAGTGAGTGCTTTTTCATATTACATGTTATGTACATGTTAGATAAGATTAAACGTTAATTTAGTCATCTTAACAAACATTGCTGACAAATAAAGACACTGGAGAGATCATCATTGGTGTTTTAAGTTGTGACTTTTAAAGTATTTAAAATGGCATGTTATTAAATAGTTTTTCAATGTAAACGTGTAGATGTTGCTTCTAGCAACTGCAATGTTCTCATACTATGCTAAAATTATAATTGAATTGTATGACTATTTATATTCACTATAGATATGTCAACAATATACATTCTGTAAGGGTAGTCAACGAGGGTCTTGTCTTTAGGTTATGTTTGCACTCTGTGAATGTTTATTTCACTCTGCTTGAATGTTTGGCTGGATTGAAGTCATGTGCTTGTCTGATTGCATTGTTTGTCTAATTGTTATTTCACTGATTGTATTTAATTTTAGCACATGTTTTGTACAAAGCAAACCTCAACTATCTGCACACACCAGTTATCCAAAATCCGATTTAAAATGTTTTCTGAAAAGTAAGTGTAAAACTAATACAATACAAAAGTAACATCTCCAACCATAACCTCCACATCCATCTACGATCATTAGCCAGTCCACAGTGAGCTCTGGTGACCCCCTGACCATTCGTGACCTCCCTTGACCTCTGCATCATCTGCCTTGGCTGACCTCAACCATGTGTCTCACCCCGTGTCGCACCACACGAGCTCCTTGCCACCTCTCCCTCAACTTGCTCACCCCCGTTTATTTCACCCTGCTCACCCCGTGTCTCGCTCGGTCCGCATTTCGCTTGTCCCATGTCTCGTTTTCCCCGTATTCTGCTCACCTCGCTTTTCTTGCACCGTTTCATCATGTGTCTCGCTTGCCCCATGTATTCTTTGCTGCTTCCTTCACCCCATGTCTCATTCCTTCTTGTTTGCTCCACGTCACCTCGTCTCTTGCTTGACATGTGCCTCATCCCGAGTCATGCACGCTATGTTAACCGCGTGTGCAATTAGACACACTTTAACTGGACTATTCACTAAAAAGGGGCATATTGCCACTACAGTATTCGCAAAGAGCCATACGCTGCATGAGTATAAATATTAATAGTTGAGGTTTGAT